TAATAATTAGTGGTTGTCTTTGGATAAGAATTAACTCAAAAGAACGTGGCAGCCCTTAAATTTGGAAATAAAAGCCACTATATGACTCATAAAAGACATGGAAAGGTATCACCTTATTAGAACATTTAATAAGATTCACTTAGCTTAAGCCTTTTGAACGTGAATCATACAAATATAGGTATTTTGGCATTCTTTAAGCCTTCTTCAACATGATTTACACAAATAATGTTGTGAAGATACAACATCACGTTTCAGAGAGATTGCATACGTGATTTACAATGGTCGGAGCTGTAACGTGAGATTTTGCGATTCTAAGGAAGTACGGTGCAATCTTTCTCAAGAATATCATACGAATTTTTTCCTACTCCGATCTTGCTGTCACATGCTTTGTCGCAATTGACGTATATTAGAGAGATTGTCAAGAGAATCGACTCAGGTATGTTAAGGCTAAGCTCTTCCTTCATTTTGCATGATCTCGTAATTACACAAGTTTGATAACGAGGTATAAACAAAAAAATTCATGTCCCGAAATTTACGTATATTTTTCCTAGTCTTGTAAGTATATTATTCAATTGAGAATTTTCTTCTTCCAGTCAAGAGAGCAGAGAGTCTATATATACAGTATTACAGTTTTTTCATTATTATCGAGCTATAATCGATGGGCAGGCCCCTATTGGGCAACCTCTGATCAGATGGTAAGTTATATACCGAGCCTATTGTGGCCAAGCGCCTATGAGCGAGCCCAGTTGGCCGAGATACAGAGTCTAGTATGGCCGAGCGCCTATGAGCGAGCCTACTACGGCAGAGCAGTTATATATATACCGAGCTTTATAAGGTCGGACAACTATTTTACTTACTATATTGAGAAAGTTGAGTCAGTATCAGCAGGTAAGCATATCTTCAGNAGCCCATGGCCAAAGTATGGCATTATATGTTCAGAGTCCCTTAGTCGCAAGTTAGTATGCGAGGATAGGTGAGGCACCGAGTGCCGGTCTCGCCCCCAGGTTCGGGGTGTAATAAAAGACCTAATATTTAGGACTTAAAATCAATTAAATTCTTACCTTATATAAATTTATTATTTATTCAAGCTATGCAACAAAATTATAACTCTAGTTGATACACGTTTAGTTTAAATTTAGTTTAGAACAAAGACTAATAATGTAACGATCCAACCGGTCGTTTTGACTGTTAGAACCCCGTTCGCCTAAATAAGACTCTCCATATGTGCTTTTATTAATTTATAACATGCGGAGATGGTTGGTTCGGAATTTGAAAGTGTTCGGGTTGAAATCGGAACACTTAGTTCCTTAAGTTGGCTTTAAAAGGCTAAGTTTGACTTCGGTCAATATTTTGAGAAAACGACCCCAGAATCGGGATTTAACAGTTCCAATAGGTTCGTATAATAATTTTGGACTTGGACGTATATTCGAATCGGGTTTTGAATAACTCGGGAGCGTTTTGACGCTTAATAGTGAAAATTAACTATTTGAAGGTTTAAAGTTCTTTAAAATTTGGTTTGGAGTAGGTTTTGTAGTAATTGAAATCCGTTTGAAATTCCGAGTCTGAGAATATTTCTGCATAGTGATTTAAGATTTGCACACAAAATTTCGTGTCTTTCCGGATAGTTTAAGTACGTTTCGGCGCATTGCAAGTAAATTGAAGAACTTGAAGTTCTTAAGTTTGATTCAATTTGGTTTGGGGTATGATTCTTAGATTTGGTGTTGTTTTACACGTTCCGTGAGTTCGAGCTAGTCCATTTTATGATTTCAAACCTGTTGGTATATTCGGATGGGGCCCCGAGTGTTAACCGGAAGAGGCTCGGATCAATTTTGGAATTTTGAAGAAGAACTGAAGCTTCCAGCTTCTGTCAGAATCGCACCTGCGCATGGGCCAGCCGCAAGTGTGATCCATACGCCGCAGGTGCGAAGGAGAGGAGCTGCCAGCAACCGCAGATGCGAAGGAATGGGCGCATTTGGCTTGCGCAGAAATGAGCAATTTGTCCGCAGGTGCGGTGCCAGACCAAAGGAGTAAATGCGCACCTGCGAGGAATTTCCGCAGGTGCGAAAGCCGCATGTGCGGTACTCCTCCGCAGGTGCAAAAAATCTATTTGGGCAGAACCTTAAAACGGAGGAAGCTCAGTCCATTTTTGTTCGCTTTTCTTCCATGTATGAGTGATTTCAGAGCTTCTTGAGAGGAGATTTCAACTAGCAATTTGGAGGTAAGTTAATTCTACACACCTTGAGTTAAATACATAGATTATAGGTAGATTATAACTAGTAAATCTTAGAAATCAAAGGTTTAGATGAAAAAACTAGATTTTTATAAAAATGAGATTTTAACCACGAAAATGGTTATGGAATTGGATAGAAATTATATATTTGAGTTCTTGAGATTATGGGTAACGTTTTCATCCGAAAATTTCCGGAATCCGGGCACGTGGGCCCGGGGTGAATTTTAGGAATTTTACTGTTTTGGTTAGGATAATTTATTTAATAGCCTAAATTCGAATTATTAAACATGTATTAATTATTTTGTATAACATTTGGATAGTTTCGAATTTTTCGGCATCGAATTGAAGTTTTTACACGACATTTTGATCGGAAAGTGGACTTTGAGACAAGGTAAGTCTCTTGTCTAATCTTGTGAGGGGGAAATTATCCATAGGTAATTAAATTAATAATTATTGCTAATTGTGAGAGGGGGAGGGGGGCTATGTACGCACGAGGTGGCGAGAGTCCGTACGTAGCTACTATTAATGCTAAAGTCCGGGTAGTTTAGGACACAAAACATGAATTACTTGTGCAAATTATATTTTTTATTTAATTAATATTATATATATTGTGAATTGTTAGGTAAAAATATTAAAATATGAAAATCCCATATGCTTTAATTTTCTGTTTAAATTAATTAATTGTTAAAAAATATTGTTCATCCTCTCGAATTGATTTTATAATAAATATACTTTCATTCCGGAGGTACATAAGAAAATGTCCTCCTTTCTTGTGAAGCGGGCCGAACGCCTCGGCATGATAGATGCATCTATGGATCGTGCCGCACGTCCCTCGGCATTGTACACGATACTCTGGATCGGGCCGTACGACCTCGGCAGAAATCATGCCTAATAATAATAATAATTACTCGATACTTTGCTATTTTAATTGCAGCCTGTGAATTTAATTAATAGATTAAAAATTATTTCATTTAAAGGAATTTAATTGATAAATTAAAAATTATTGGAATTTCAAAGAATTAATTATCTCTGCTTGTTAAGAAAATTATTGTTATTCTTGTAAATGAGGCTAATTGATAAATTGAAAATTTATTGGAATTGAAGAAGTTTAATTATTTCTGCTGGTTAAAGAAAATCATTGTAAATTCGATAAATCATGTCGATCTAGATATTGCTATTTTTATTTTATCCATTATTATTGACTCTTAGTGAGTGTCAAAGTCGGCCATCTCGTCTCTACCTCTTCGAGATTAGGCTTGATACTTACTGGGTACACATTATTTTTTGTACTCATGCTGCACTTGCTGCACATTGTATTGTGCAGGTACATATATGTCTAGCGGCCTTGTGGGTGCAGAGGTGTGGTTAAAATTGTGGGAACATAGATGAGCTGCATTCTGTATTACGATCCGCAACCAACAGAGTCTCTTTCAGAGTTATTATATTTTTTCTGTCTAATTTGTATTTCGGACATATGCTGTATTTTATTTTAACTCCCTAGTAAATGCTCATACACTTATGACACCGGGTTTTGGGAATGGTTATGAATTATTTAGGAATTTAGTTGCTAAAATTATTTATCATTTACTCTATGAGTTTTGTCTTTATTATTTCATTGAAAAAAAATTTGATTTCAAAAATACTAAAAAGAGTAATTAAGCTAAGTATATAGTATTGGCTTGCCTAGCAGTGGAGTCCGGCGCCATCACGACCTTTAATGGATTTTAGATCGTAACAAATAAGCAATCATTGTGGAACCTAAGCTAAAATCTGACACGAATTTGAATAATGAAAAATTGCCATAGACATATACAATGACACTAAATCTTGATAATACAAAACTGCCGAATTTTATATTAGATTTTAAGGAAAAACAATTGCACTCAAACAAAAAGTCTAAAAGAACTATAAATAAATATCTTCTGAGACAGTAAAAATGAATATTAACACTAATTCTTATAATATTAAATTACTAAAAAGAAAATATAAAATTTTAGTTATTCAATTATTTTCCTAATATTTAGGACTTAGAAATAAATTAAAATTTTAGTTACTAAATCTTTTCTTACTTGAACTAAATATGGTATTCTAATATTTAGGACTTAAAATCAATTATACTTTACCTTTTATAAAATTTTTCTTTACTTGAACTATCTAAAAATTAGGTTTCAAGTTAAAGAAAAAATTCGTTTAGGGCATAATTTGTTTTTTTCATGGAAGGGGTCCTTTAAAAGCTTCTTCCTAGTTAGAGAACCTTTTGGCAATATGAAAGCTTGACGGTGAAAGCTTCTTGGCCTCACCGTTCAGTTGCTGCACACCAAACTCGGAGAGAGTACTTTTTACATTACGCTAGTTGAGGAATTAAAGTGAGGCATATTTTATTCAAAAGCGATTTTAGTAACTGTTTACTTATGCGCAATAAAATTTTATTTTTTGACTTATTCATGAAATCGTTACTTAACTTATCAAATTTTCTTCAGCCCGCCTACAATTCTTGCCACTTGATTCTTCTTCTTCTTCTTCTTCTTCTTCTTCTTCTTCTTCTTCTTCTTCTTCTTCTTCTTCTTCTTCTTCTTCTTCTTCTTCTTCTTCTTCTTCCTGAGCCGATATTTTTTAGGTGGTCTTTATCCAAACTTCAAGCATATGTTAGATACGTTTTTGCTTTTGTGTTCTTTTTAGTTTTTACCTTGTATTTACTTTAATAATTATTTTCTATTTATTTTATTAGGCATACTTCTACGTAAATGTTCTGATTATTACATTGTAATGTAGATGCTTTTAAATATATAATTCAAACATGTCAATATAGTCTTGATGAAAGTCTTACAAGTGTTATACTGCCATGTTTTAAATAGGGCATGAATATAATCTCTATCACAGGGATATGTTAGCCTAGAATCTACTCACGTTATTCTCCGTCTCAGGTATGAGATTTAAGGATAACCATTGTACATGCTATATTTCTGGCAACGTGCTCGTTTTTCATAGACCTTATTTGAATTATGTAATATACCTATAATTCCTTCAATGTCACATACAAAGAAGCTCCACCATATCGAAAAATTATTAGAAATTTAAGCGTGCAATATTCTCCTAATTGTCTCCACACAAAATTCCAACTGAAGCATACAATTCCTTATAGCAGTTAAGAAACAAACATAATCGTAAAATTAAATATGATTTTACGGTTTCATGATATTGGTTTATGGTTCCATGACAAATCAATACTCTATACAAGAAAGACATAGGAGATTATAATCGATTAAAATTCAATATTCACCAATTTTAGAATTTTATATTTTCTTAAACTTTTTTTTATGACTCAACCATATTTTAAAATACTAATATTTCTATGATTTTTAAAATTTTAGCACCTTTAAAATAGGGTGCACACGCAACGCGCATACTCTATGACTAGTTTTAAGAAAAGATGAGTTATAGTTAATTTGTTTCTTCTATCTGTTGCATTTTTTCTTTTCTTTTTCTTAATCTCTTTGCAATGTTTGTGAAATTAAGAGCTTGTTATCTGATTCGATTTTTCAGTTGTATATTTGTTTAGTTGTATAATCAATTTTAAGAAAAGATGAGTTATAGTTAATTTGTTTCTTCTATATGTTTAGATGTTTTGGGTGTGGGGGTGGTTATTTTTGGCTGAAAAGGTAAGTAAATGCTCTGCTTTTTCCTTCTTGTAGCAAAAACACAATGAATGGAGTTGAAGACTTTGGGTGGGCTATTTCTGTGGGGGTAAGATACTTTTTTGAAAATTCAAATTATGTTTAAACATTGTGAATTAGATATAAATTTTTTATGAATCTACTTAAATTTTTGGTACACACTATCTTACAGGCTTCACATATATGGTGTGGCCCGAGATTCATGACTCCTGTAGCTCATCAATACCATCTTAGTAAGTTTCTAATGTTGCATAGAACTTTTTTTTTTTTTTTTTTTTTTTNCCGTTTCAACTGTTCTATTTTAGTTCTATGTGTTATATATTCATCTATTATACCCTTCTCCTAGAATGCCGAGCCCAGATATCTAATTGCCAGTATTTAGGTGTGTAATCTCACTTGACCTTCACGTTGCTTATGCGAGCCAACTTGCAGTGGGTATATTCTTAATTTTACAGACATGCATATGGAGGTCTATGTAGGACATAACTAGTACTAGCAAATGGGCGGGTCGGATAATACGGTTACGGCATTTTTTTTTTTTTTTTTTTTTGATGAAGTAATAAGTTTTCATTAAAGGCATCAAGAAGATGCAGACAAAAATTTACAAGAGGAAAAAAGGTGACTGCTCAGATACAAAGATTAATCTATAACTAGAGAGCATATAACTTCCAAAAGTTGTTCACAGCTAGATACAGAAGATTGGTTAAGCCAGCTAAATAAATTCACTAAACATTTAACTTTAAGAGCATGATTTGAAGTTGAGATCCCATCAAAACACCTATGGTTTCGTTCATTCCATATACACCAAAAGATTGAGGCATGTACCATTAATCATGTCTTTTTGATGGGTTTTCCAACTTTCCAAGAGCACCTACTTTTATAGGCATCTTTGATGGAGTTAGGCATGACCCAGGCTATCCCAAATATTGACAGGAACATGTTCCAAATGTCTGCTGCTACTGGACAATGCAAAAATAGATGGCTTACACTCTCGAGGTTCATTCTGCAAATGAAGCATCTATTTATAGTCTGGATGTCTCTCTTACTTAGATTGTCTTGGGTAAGACAAGCTTCATACAAAGCTAGCCAGCAAAAACAGATCACTTTGGGAGGTAACTTTGTCTTCCAGATTAGCTTCCATGGCCAGTTATCAATCAGTTCTTTGTTGGAGCACAAGAGAGCATATCCTTTCTTGACTGTAAAATTACCCTTGTCAGAGTCCCCCCATTGAAGACTATCCTTGGCATGTGGATTGATAGTGACCCCTGCTAATTTTGCATATAGCTCCATTAGTTCAGTCAGCTCCCAGTCTTGAAAATTTTTTCTGAAGAGAGGTTCCCACACATTGTTGTTCCAGTTCTGATCTACGTGAGATCCCTGATTGCTTGCTATTCTATATAGGTTGGGAAACTCATCTCTTAGAGCCATAGACCACATCCAATTGTCCTTCCAGAATAATAATTGCGATCCATTTCCCAACTTGAATTTTGTATTGAGCTCAAATTCCCTCCATAGTTTTGAGATGTGCTTCCAAGGCCCTATTCCATGAGGTGAGTTGCCAAGTCTAGTACACCAGTTATTTTGTACTCTATATTTTGCTAAGGCCACTTAATCATGTGAAATTTATGTCCTTGGCTATTTTCCTCCCAAAGAAATGATCTTCTAATCTGGTCCAGCTTCTTCTGTACTTTACTTGGAATTGAAAAAAGTGATATGAAGTATGTTGGGATCAGGGTTGTGAAAAGCGGTCGCTTCCTCGCTTAAAGCGAGAAGCGAAGGGAGGCGACCCTATGACCGCTTCTGCTATATGAAGCGACTCAGGTAGGCAAAAGCATGCGCTTCCCACTAAAAATCAAGAAGCTTTGAAGCAAAGCGAGGCGACCGAAGCGAGCGCTTCTTTGTTTTAAACACCTGCCAACCTATTTAATTAAAAAAGAAAGGTGTTCTTTTATTAAAACATATGACCAACAGCAACAGAGAGAAAGAAGCGAGTAGGGTTCCAAGTCTTGTACACTTTTCAACTTAAACATATAACCAGCAGCAACATGTATGTGATCTCTTCTTCTTCTTCCTATTTTTCTTTTTCTTTCACTGTTTTAGCGTCCAAATAGCAACAAAGTGCTGGCAAATTTTTTTTTCCTTCGGTTCTTCTTTCTCAGTTTTCTCCTCTTCGTTGAAATGTTGCCCAGATCTTCTTTCACTGTTTTTATGCTGCCCAGTTTTTAACAGAATGGTATATTTTAATATTCAAATGGTATATTTATTTTAATATTTTTATTTTTAAATTCCGCTTCACTTCAAAAAAGTGAGCGCTTCGCTTCTCGTTTTTCGCTTTAAGCGAAATGGGGGTTATTGCTTTTCCCCGCTTCACGCTCTTCACAACACTGGTTGAGATACTATCCAATACACTGTTTATCAGGGTTACTCTTTCACCTAAAGATAAGTATTACATCTGCCATGAAGCTAGTCTCTTTTCAAAATTTTTAATTACTCCATTCCAAATAGCTTGAGACTTGTATTTTGCACCCGGTGGTAGTCCAAGATAGACAGTAGGAAATGAGCCCACGCTGCAACACATCAATCTAGCAAACTCTTCCAATTTAGGGACTTCATTTACCCGATAAATGGTGCTTTTTAACATGTTCATGTGAAGTCCTGAAACTGCTTCAAAAACCATGAGAGTAAGATTCAAATACATGACTTGGGATCTTTCAGCTCCACAGAAAATAAGAGTATCATCTGCATATAACAAATGAGAGACACCTATAGAGGTCTCGACTTCATTTCCAACTCTGAACCCCTCCAGCCATTGAAGTTGAGTAGCTTTGTGTATCATTTTGTTTAGCCATTCCATTGCTAAAATAAATAGGAATGGGGACAGAGGGTCTCCTTGCCTGAGACCTTTCGGAGGAGAGAAGAAGCCAACTGGTCCACCATTGATCAAGATAGAAAAATTCATTGTGGTAATGCAGTATCTTATCCACCTTATCCAGCCTTTCCCAAATCCCATTCTTCTGAGCATGCATATAAGGTATGACCAGTTAATCTGATCGAGTGCCTTCTCAATGTCAAGTTTGAAAATCAAACCAGGTTTCCCTGATTTTAGCCTCCAATCAAGTACTTCATTTGCCATCAATGCAACATCTATGATTTGCCTTGATTTGATGAAAGCATTTTGATGCCCAGAGACCAGCCTTCCCATCACTCTTTTTAGTCTTTCTGCTAGGACCTTAGATGCAATCTTATAAACACTATCAATCAAGGTGATTGGTCTATAATCTCGTAACTCCATAGCTCCTTTCTTTTTAGGAACAAGAGCTATGAAAGAGGCATTACAAGACCTCACCAAGTGAACTGTTTGATGGAAGTGCTAAAGAGCTCCCATAATGTCCACTTTAATTATCTCTCACGCTTTCTGAAAAACTGCCATAGTGAATCCATCTGGACAAGGAGCTTTGTCCGGAGCACTTGCTTTAATGACTGCAATGACCTCTTCTTCCTCGAAAGGTCTTTCTAACTAATCTTTTTGCACCCCTGTGATTGTTGATATGCCATTGATTAATGTCAATTTTATTGGTTAATAGTGCATAGGTTTGGCTTTATAGTAGTAAAAGGTTTAAATTGCTTTGACTACAATAAGTTGGGCTCTGAGGCTTTAAGTTCCCCAAAGAGTTCTTGAAAGATTATCGTTGTTATCTCCTCATTTGACCTGAGAATTTTACTGCAGAGGCAAGAGCAGCAGAATGTTTAATAAATAAAAAACATATAAATGGAAGTCAATATGTAAATAAGAGTTATTTCTAGCAATGCATACTCGATAATAGGATTTCATTATTGCTTCCCAGTTGAGTTATTGCTTCCGTAAGCATAGTTTGAGATGATCTGCAAGCTCAAAAACTTGAATTCTTCATAGTTTGAGATGCCTAGGGGCTTACCTCTCCCCTCGTATGCAGTAAAATGTCACTCTGCACTCGCCCGCCTTTTATAACACTAATCTTGTGTGTTGTTTTGTTTCATGAACAGACATATGTGTAGCGTTTGCAGTGAGTGATGTTGTTAGTGCCAAGTTGGAAATGCAATCCCCTAGATCTTTACGGGTTGGTGCAATAAGTTTCTCCAAACAAGAGATTCTGGAATGCCTACCCATTGTAGGATATGGCACCACTTTTCTCAAAGTTTACAACTATGTAAGAGTCGAGGGTTTGAATTTTGCATATCATTATCCTTATACGGGTGTAGCTTCTCATTGCCGGAGTTTAGTGTTACGATTAAGTAGTAAATGATTCTTAATTTTCAATACATTTATTTAAAAATATATTAATTTTTTTAAATATAATTTTTATGTCTTTCAGCGACAAGGACTAGCCATAGCTTTTATTCTGGATTGGGACTGGATTGAGACATATGAGGCGGCCAGTGCTTTACAACATCATACCTTGACCGCAACAATGGTTCATTATCCTAGCTTCGCAAATCGGGGTTTTCAATGGTAAAGACTTGAGTACTTTTTTTTGATAAAGTAAAGTGTTTCATTAAAAGCACCAAGAAGATGAAGAAAAAGTACAAAATAAAAAGCCTTGGTTAACTCCTAATACAAAAACTTATAAAGCTAAGAGTTGACTAAGACGAAGAACCAAAAGTATGACTATTAAGCCATAGTAAGAGAGCTAATGAAATCTAAGAGGGGAATAGCATCATTTACAAGGGAAAGGTTACTCCAACTAAACAGGTTCATCAGACACTTAGATTTCAATAGGCTGGTGGAAGTTGAAATGCCATCAAAACATCTGGTGTTCCTCTCTGTCTAAATACACCAACAGATACATATTGGGATCATTTGCTAGGTCTTCTTGATGGGTTTTCCAACTTTTCACGAGCACCAGCCTTCAACTGCTTCCTTGATATCCTGAGGAATAGATCAACTGAGACCAAAAACTGCTAAAAACGTATTCCATATATCTGTTGCCACTGGACTGTGCAAGAAGAGATGGTTTACTGATTCTGCATTGTTGTAGCACATGTAACATATGTTTACTAGTTGAAAGTTTCTTCTGCATAAGTTGTCTTGGGTCAAGGTAGCATTTCTGAGAGCAATCCGAGAGAAGCACATTACTTTTGTAGGATATTTTGACCTCCATATATACTTCCATGGCCAATTCTCAATCATTCCATTTGATGCACACAATTTGCTGCATCCAGCCTTCACTGAATATGTACCCTTGCAAGAATTACACCACTTTAGGCTATCTGAGATTTGAGGATTTAAAGTAAAGCCTTCAATAATTCTGTAGAGGTCAAAGAGTTCATCAAGTTCCTAATCCTACATGTTCCTTCTGAAATAAGGTTCCCATATGTTCCCTACTCTGTTCTGGGCTATTGTTGAGTCAGGTTCAATACCTATCTGATATATGTCGGGGTGTGATTCTTTTAGAGGTTGATTTTGGAGCCACATATCCTTCCAGAATTTGACAGAGCTGCCATTCCCTACTCTGAAAGATACCTCTTGAAAGAATTCCTTTTTTCAGATTGTTAATATGTTTCCGTGGCCCTACTCCGTATGGAGCTCTGCTTTGCTTTGTGCTCCAATTGTCCAGCTTCCTATACTTTGTTGTTACCACCATCTTCTATATGTTCGTGGTTTCTTGTGCATACCTCCACCACCACTTCAATAGAAGGCTCTTGTTGTGCTTTTCTAAATCTCTAATACCCAGTCCACCTTGGTTCTTTAGCATGATTACTTTGGACTACTTAACCAGGTGGAATTTATGTCCTTCACTGTTGCCCTCCCATAGAAAAGATCTTCTAATTTTGTCCAGTTGCTTTTGAACTTTGCTTGGTATAGGAAAAAGAGACATGATGTAAGTTGGAATGCTGTCTAGAATGCTATTGATCAGTGTCAATCTCCTTCCCATTGACAAATACTGCATTTTCCATGTTGCCAGTCTTTTCTCTACCTTTTCAATGACTCCATTCCAAACGTCATTTGCTTTGTACTTTGCTCCTAAAGGAAGACCTAGATATGTTGTTGGGAAAGAGCCGATGCCACAACCTATAATTCCAGTCAATTCCTCCAGATTAACACCACATTCACATGGTAAATTGAACTTTTCATAATATTAATATGCAACCCTGAAATGACTTCAAAAAGAAGTAGTGTCAGGTTTAGATATTGAACTTGTAGTTTCTCTACCGCATAAAATATTATAGTGTCATCTGCATACAGTAAATGAGATACTGTGACTGAGGTAGCTGCACTGTTGCCCACCTTGAACCCTTCAATCCACTGTATTTGTTTTGTCTTGTCAAGCATTCTGCTCAATCCCTCCATGGCTAAGATGAATAAAAAGGGAGATAGGGGATCTCCTTGCCTTATCCCTTTCTGTGGAGAAAAGAAACCAATTGGAATTCTGTTGACTAGGATGGAGTATTTAACAGTAGTCAGGCTAAATTTAATCCATCTATCACCAAATCCCATTTCTTTCAACATAGAGAGTAAGTATGACCAATTGACTTTATCAAATGCTTTCTCTACATCAAGCTTGCAGAGAATGCCCGGGCCCCATTCTTTAATCGCCCATCCAACAACTCATTTGCTACAAGTGAAGCATCTGTGATCTGTCTGCTTTTTAGAAATGCATTTTGTTCTTCTGAGATCAACTTCCAAATGCCTGACTTCAACCTTTTTGCTAAGAGTTTAGCAATGATCTTGTATACACTTCCAATGAGACTTATGGTCCTGAAGTAGCTGAGTTCAATTGCACCTTTCTTTTTTGGGACTAGTGTGATAAAAGAAGTATTACTAGATCTGACCATGTAGCAATACTGGTGAAAGTGGTTAGGAGCACCCATTATGTTAGCTTTAATTATATCTGAAGCTCCTTGATAGAAAGCCATTGTATATCCATTAGGGCCCGGACTTTTGTCTGGTGCATATGAGTTAATTGCTGCCTTCACCTACTCTTCATCAAATGCTCTTTCTATCCATATCTTGTCATCTGCTGTTAAGGTAGATAGATTTTCAAAGTTAGCACTAGGCCTACATGCTTTATTTTCAGTGTACAAATCTTGATAGAAAGTCAGGATTTCAGCTTTAATTTCCTTACTGTTTTAACTAATTTTCTCCCCAATCATGAGTTTGTCTATGCAGTTATTTCTTCTATGAGAGTTGGCCATTTCCTGAAAAACTTTGGTGTTTCTGTCTCCTTCTTTGAGCCAAAGACGCCTAGACTTTTGCCTCCACGAAACCTCTTCTGCCTTTGCCATCTATTGTAGCCCAAGCTTCATGTGCATTGATTCCTCTTTTTCTGCTTTTGTCATAAGTCTGTTTTCAGTTGCTGGCTCCAATAGAGCTGGATCTTCCAGTAGTTTAGTCTTCCTTGCGTCCAGCTGACCAAAGGACTCCTTATTACATCTTGTGATGTCTTTTTTCAGACACCTTAGTTTCTGCAGTAGAATGAAGTTTGGACTACCTGCATAACTAAGCCACCATTCCTTAACCTTGTCCATGAAGCCTTCAGCCTGAAGCCACATATTTTCAAACTTAAAATATGAGGGGTTGGCTGCCCAATCACCACATTCCAATAACAGGGGTCTATGATATGTGACAACTCTAGGAAGGGCTAGTTACTTGATTGCTTTAAAGTTGTCATTCCACTTGGGGGAAATAAGGAACCTATCTATTCTGGATGCTTGCAAAGAATCTTCACCTCTGAACCAAGTGTAATGATCCCCCTGAAGAGGCAAATTTATGATACTCAGATCTTGTATGATGTCAGTGGAGGATTTCATGGCCCTGGATCTCCTTATACAATTATATCTTTCACTCTCATACCTACAAACATTGAAGTCACCCCGTATGACCCATTGATCTTCCCATATTCCTCTGATGGATGCAAGCTCATGCCATAGAGACTCTCTGGGTTAGTGTGAGGCCCATAAACCTCTGTGAAGTACCATCTAAAGTTCTCTTGGGTGCTTTCGAACATGCATGAAATTGTAAGAGCCTTGATGTACCCCTCTATTAAGCCACTCTCTTTTGTCCCAAAGAACAATGATACCACCACTTCTTCTAAATGAATTGAGTTCTACCTAGTCGACCCATCTATTGCCCCAAACTTGCCTAATCCAGTATGGAACCACTCTTCGACTTTTGTTTTTTGGAGGCAAACTATATCTACTTTCCATTTATGAATCAATGACTTCATTGTGCTTCTTTTTTCCGCTTTAATTAGACCCCGTACATTCCAGCTTAGAATTTTGATCTTCATCCAGAAAAGGCTTTGTAGTGTCTGCCGCTTGCCCCTTGTCTTCTTACCATCATAATTCATTCCCCATCTCATCCTTTCCAATTCTAATGACTGTTTCTTATTCCCCTTTGTGATGGCCTTGATTGATCTTTTCTGATTCTGAATATGCTTATCTTTTTTGTTCTATTTGAAGAACCATAGAAAAAATTTCATGTTCGAACCCCACAACATTTACCCCAAAAACCTTGCAAGCTTTGAGCATCACCGACTTGGTCCATCTTGAGGTTTCAATAACTGCTGGTGCACCGATATGTTGAGAATCCGAGTGACCCATACCCAGTGTTGTGAAAAGCGAGCGCTTCCTCGCTTAAAGTGAGAAGTGAAGCGAAGCGAGCCATCGAACACTTATGTTAGCTGAAGCGTAGCACGTTTAAAAAGCGCTCGCTTCCCATTAAAAAGCGAGAAGCGCAGATGCGAAGCAATGCGTAATAAGCGAGTGCTTCTCTGTATTACGGGGGTGCCAACCTATTTAATTAAAAAAACTGTTCTTTTTTTAAAACATTATCGACCAACAGAGAAAGAAAGAGGCGACCTAGGGTTCAAATTTTCCACACTTTTCAACTTCAAGATCATCAAGTTTGGTCCAGGTATGTGATTTCTTCTTCCTCCTCCTCCTCCTTCTTTTTCTTTTTTTTTTTCTTTCACTGTTTCAGCGTCCAAATAGCAGCGAAATGCTGGCGAATTATTTTTTCCCTTCAGTTCTTCTTTCTCATTCTTCTCCTCTTCTTCATTTTCTTGCATTGTTTTTTCGTTTGAAATGCTGCCCAATTTTTTCGTTTCAGTTATACTTATACTGTCCTTCTTCTTATTTTTATATCCTTTGTTCTTAGTTCTTATTGCATTTCTTATGTGTTATGTAGTTGTTCTTTTAATGGCCTTCTTCTTGGTAGTTCTTATTTTTTCGTTTCATTTGTTCTTTCTTATTTTAATATTTTTTTTAAAAAATTCCGCTTTACTTCAAAAAAGCGAGCGCTTCGCTTCTCGCTTCTCGCTTTAAGCAAAAAGGGGCATGTCGTTTTTCCTCGCTTCACGCTCTTCACAACGCTGCCCATACCATACCATGGAAGAGACAGAGTATCGCAAGAGAAAATATCGGCTTCAGAGCTGCTTTTGAAAATTCTAATTCTGCTAGCTTCCTTCCTCTTCCAGTTTTTCCTTTTCTTTTTTGCTAGCTCAGCATTGAGTTTGATGTCCTCTTTGAAGCTGACAACTTAGGGGTTGTCTTACTGCGTTCCCCTATCGTCCCTTGCTTTCATTTTTTTGTTTTTGTTTTGTTTCAGGATGTTTATGACCCTCCGTCATATGAAGCTCCAACACGTAATGATGATGGAAGTGAAGCGTGGCACGCGGTACTGGTCGTTGGTTATGGCGTCTCGCTGTATGGCGAATCTTACTACATCATAAAGAATTCCTCTAGAGTTGGCTGGGGTGCAAATGGCTACACACGCATGGCCGTAGATACATTGTTTTCCTTTGCTCAACCAGGACGTGTAATAGTGTATTAAGGTACATAGAATTTAGAGGCTCCGAGTGCCACAATATTTTTAACGTAGCCATGCTACAATTTACATTGTCTAAATAGGGTATAAAGTTAATCGGTTTGGTCTAGTTGGGGTTCGGTTCGGGTTATTCGTCTTTGAAATTAATATAGACAAATCGATCGAGCAAATATATTACGTAATTATTATGGATTATGCATTTTGTATAAGTAAAAAAGGCTCGTTATCAATTTATATTTTGATACTCAAGGCAAAAACTTATACTAATAAGCACTCTAAACATTAAAACAACATATTTACAGACATTTTTAAATTTACTATTTTTTATGAAAATTAATCACTCAATATTATATACAATTATCCTACTTTAGAGCAATCTGACAATAAAATAAGCTTTCATTCTTGATTAGAACGGTAACTTATTCAAGGATTTCTATATTTTTTTGGTTTCTGCAAATACATTTACCGGAATTATGCTCCTCGAAAAAAAAAAATTGTCATCTATTGATAAATCATGAAGGAGTTGGGAAAGCGCAACAGGGGGGAGGGATTTTTGAAAGAAAATGATTTTTATATTTCATATTTAATGTTTAAAGAAAAAAAAGGAGAAGAAATTTCAAAATAAACTAGTACTAATAAACAAAGCAAAAGTCAATAGGAACTACTAATAAACAAAAAAGACCATCAATTAAGGAAAGAGAAAAAAGAAGAGTAAACCTCCTATAATTATAGGAGTCTTAAATGCACCAAACAAAACTTCTAAGAAAAATGTGTTATTCCGGATTCAAACTCGCACCTCTTGGGTGGAATGACAGTGCATTGCCAATGGTACCTACGGTCATTTCACTAATAAGGGTGCCTCTTAAAATATTTCACAATATTCCTTCTGTATATACATGCATATATACATATTATTGCATAGTCTCGGCCAAAACTTGGGGTGGCGTATCACCCCATCCTTTACACATAGATCCGCCCCTGAAGGCACAACAACCATCTGTTTATCAGAATGTTTGTAATACACATTGTGAAGAGCTTGAAGTAAGAGCACTAGTGTGACAGAACTGACAGAATTTTCAACTTTAAATGATGCTCGGGATGTTTACATACTAGTTGTCCCCTTTTTTTCATCACAAAAGTAGTTGTGTCTAATATCTAGATATACTGTAGATTTATCGGAAACAAGCAAAGTGGCTCTATGAGGGTAAGACCTTTCGGTTCCAAATTAGTCTGGATCAGTTATATGAATTGTTTATATCTATTCGGCGAATTAGACTATACTTTTTTTCCTTTCTTGGGTATTTTTAGCTAGATGATTGGGTAATTTAATTTGTCGAATTTATAAGAAGAAAAACTTGGGGAAAACTATGGAGATGATGAAGCTGAAGAAGAGGAGTCAGAGGCTCAAATTGAGATTACCAATAATGATATTGAAGTTGTTGGTGCTACTACTAGTGGACCGAATTTATAAGAAGAAAAACTTGGGAAAAACTATGGAGATGATGAAAGCTGAAGAAGAGGTGTCAGAGGCTCAAATTGAGATTACCAATAATGATATTGAAGTTGTTGGTGCTACTACTAGTGGACCACAAACAAATAAATTGCCAAGGAGTTGTTCATTGTCACATCTACTAGAATTGGATTACTTTGAGTCAATTCCACAATTGCTAGGTGACAATTCATACCACACAAGTTTTGATAATGACCAAAGTTACACATATGTGAACAATGTTAATACAAATGCGGTTCATCAAATGGAGAAATCTCAGCTAGGGGAAGTGTCACACCAACATAATAGCCAAAATAATAATTATAATATCTTCTTCAACCAGCAACCTGTTTTTGTAAATCCAGCTTTTCAATTTCAGTGACGAAAAGCTCCACAGAACTGTCGCATGTGGGTACTACGAGGCTTATGATTTTCTTGATCGCCTCATTCTTTAATCATAAGTTAAGATGTGACTAAAGTCTCTCCAATAGTAATGTATTTTACCCTACAGAGGCTATTGGATGAAGCTGACAGCATAAAAGTTTTCAACAATTGTAAAATATTATAGTGGAAAGTGACACATTATGTGATTGGTATTATCAGCAAGAAATCTCTAGAGACAAAAAGAAGGGGTGGGGGCAACAAACTCATGTTGTATTAATTTTAGAATTTACTTTAGTTTCTCAGCTTGTGTTTGTCAAAACTAATTTGCTTGTGAAATTGTAATGGATATTTTTGGGCAGTACCCTACGTTTTGATTTGTTTTTTCGTTTTTGATTTAACGATGACATGTCAAATTGGATTTTTTATGAAGCTCGACTCTACTCTCGTAAACTGTAACGACTTTGCCGGTCGTTTTGAGAGTAATAGTCCTGATCCCCTATTAATTGTTTTCCCCGTATCTTTTCTGCTTATGTGACTTATCGGGAGGTCTTGTTTTTGATTTCGGAGTGAATTGGGACACTTAGTCCCTAAAACGGAAGCTTAAGTCTTAGGATTTTGACCGTAATCGGAACTGTGTGAAGACGACTCCGGAATGGAGTTACGTTGGCTCCGTTAGCTCCGTTGGGTGATTTTGGAGTTTGAGGCGTGTCCGGATTGTGTTTTGGAGGTTTGTAGCTGATTTAGGCTTGAAATGTCGAATTTTTGGAGATTTTGACCGGTAATGAACTTTTTGATATCGGGGTCGGATTTTGATTTCAGAAGTTGGAGTAGGTCCGTAATGTCGAATATGACTTGTGTGCAAAATTTGAGGTCAATCGGACGCGATTTGATAGGTTTCGGCATCGATTGTAGAAGTTTGAAGTTTCACAGTTCATTAAGTTTGAATTGGAGGGTGATTCTTGTTTTTAGCGTTGTTTGATGTGATTTGAGGGCTCGACTAAGTCCGTATGGTGATTTAGGACTAGTTGGTATGTTTGGTTGAGGTCCCGGGGGCCTCGGGTGTGTTTCGGATGCTTAACGGATTGAGTTTTGGACTTATGCAATTGCTGAAGCTATCTGAGTTCTAGTGTTTTCGCACCTGCGGTGAGGAGACCGCAGGTGCGGGATCGCACGTACGGAGGTATAACCGCATCTACGCATCCGCAGATGTGGAAGATGGATTGCAGAAGCGAAAGGGGCCAGGGCGTGAGGGATCGCAGAAGCAGAAGAATTCCACAGGAGCGGGCGTCGCAGGTGCAACTATGGGTTGCAGGTGCGACTATGGGTCACAGGTGCGAGATTTCTCGACAGAACACTTAAATGCAAGGATTTGCGATTTTTGCTCATTTTTAACATCTTGAGAGATATTTGAGGGATTTCTTGAGATAAGTCCCTTGTACTTATATTTGATCAATAATCTTGCTTCCCCATTTATTTTTCCACCTAGTTAGTGTGTATTTATGGTGGAATTTGGGAATTGGGGCTAGGGATTTGGAGAGTTTGATTTGAGGATTTGAAGGATCATTTGGTGTCGGATTTTAGTAAATTTGATATGGTTAGACTCGTGAGTGAATGAGTGTTCATATTTTATGACTTTTACCCAATTCCGAGACGTGGGCCCGGGTCGACCTTTTAGGGTGAATTTCGGAATTTTTGTTAAAATATTAATTTTATTAATTAGATGAGCCTATTATAGTTGTATTTATGATATGCAATTGTGTTTGGCTAGATTTGGGTCATTCAGAGTCGGATAATCGAGGAAAGGGCATTCTTACGGATTGATTGAGCTTGGTTCGAGGTAAGTGGCTTGCCTAACCTTGTGTGGGGGAAATCCCCTTAAGATTTGGTACTGTTGTCATATGTGAGCGCCATGTACGTGAGGTGACGAATACGTACACGGGCTATTTGTTGAAAAACCCGAATTATTTTACTGAGTAGCAACCTGTTTTTCCTTTAATTTGAGTTATACCGTTTAAATGAGTATTAGTCTGTTTTTATTCTTCAATGAGCTATTCCAACATGTGTAGTTATCCTGTTTAGTCTAATATCGCATGTCTACGTGCTTTAACTGCTTATTTGAACTCTATGAAGCATGTCTAGTTGATTTTTTGTTTTTTCTTTTTTTTTTTATCAGTCTTAACTGTAAAATTCTTGTTGTTAACTATGGTATTTATCGGTTGAGTTATATATTTACTTTTGAGACTACGAGGCGGTTCCTCGGGAGTTCTCCCTGCATATTTAATTTTGAGACTATGAGGCGGTTCCTCGGGAGTTCTCCTTGTATATTTACTTTTGAGATTACGAGGCGGTTCCTTGGGAGTTCTCCCTACATATACTTTTGAGACTACGAGGCGGTTCCTTGGGAGTTCTCCCTACATATTTACTTTTGACACTACGAGATGGTACCTCGGGAGTTCTCCCTGTATATTTATTTTGGGACTACGAGATGGTATCTCGGGAGATCCCCTGTTGTTTACCCCTGTGTGTTATATTGTTGCCTCGCTGTATTTCCTTTTGTTAAATTCTAATCTCTTATTATACTGTATATTCTCCTGCTTTACTTATTATATACCAGTGGGCCTGACCTGACCTTGTCACTACTCGACCGAGGTTAGGCTTGGCATTTACTGGGTACCATTGTGATATACTCATGCTACTCTTCTGCACATACTTTTGTGTGCAGATCCGAGTACTACTTATTAGCCCCACTATTAGCTGAGAGTTCTTGCTGCTGTACGGAGACTTCAAGGTACATGTGCCGCGTCTGCAGATCTCGGAGTCCCCCTCTATTCTCTCATATGCCATTTACCTTCCGTACTTCTTTTATTAGACTCTGGTGTATAGAGATACTAGTTTCCTCCTGTAGATTGTGACTTACGATATTCTGGGTTTTGGGAAGATTGTGTATTATAGAGTATTGGATATTGTACATGTCGAGCGGTATTATTATTAGTTATTCAGTTATTCATTGCTGTTAGTTGCCAAGTTTGTTTGTTACATTTTTGCAATTTTTTAGGCTTACCTAGTCATAGAGACTAGGTGCCGTCACGACATTATACGGAGGGAGTTTGGGTCGTGACAAGTTAGTATCAGAGCTCTAGGTTCATAGGTATCGTGAGTCACAAGCCGGTTTATTAGAGTCTCGCGGATCGGTGGGGAGACGTCTGCACTTATCTTCGGGAGGCTATGGAACTGTTAGGAAAAATTATACTTCTTTGATTCCTTGTCGCGCGAAATTTGTTGACATCAAAAATTTTAAACTTCTGTATTTTATTCTCTCACATATGGTGAGGACACATACATGCGGATCTGATTACCAGGCACCCGCGCCCCCTGCTGGAGCCACGAGAGGTCGGAAACCGGGGTAGAGGCCGAGGATGTCCACGCGGTGCAGCAAGAGCACCCGCACGAGCTGCTATAGATGAGCCCCCAGTAGCTCCAGCTGGAGGGCAGGCACCTGAGGTACATGTTGCTGCACCAGCCCTCTAGGAGACTCTAGCCCAGCTTCTGAGCATGTTCAGCACCTTAGCTCAGGCTGGATTGATTCCACTTGCTCCTGCCACATCTCAGGCCGAGGGAGGAGCACAGACTCCCGTCGGTACTCTAGAGCAGCGGGCTCAGGTCGACCAGGCCCTAAAGTTCATCCCTATGCAACCAGTAGCTCCGGTTCAGCACGAGACTAGGACAACCGCTTCTGAGGCAGAGCAGCTCAAACTTGAGAGGTACAAGAATTACCACCCACCTACCTTCAGCGGATTGGCTACAGATGATGCTCAGGGTTTTCTGGAGGAGTGTCATCGTATTCTCCATACTATGGGCATAGTAGAGACGAGTGGGGTTTCTTTTACCACCTTCTAGCTTAAAGGAGTAGCCTATCAGTGGTGGCGGGCTTATGAGTTGAGTAGTCCGGACGAGGCAGCCTCACTTACATGGACTCAGTTCTCGGACATATTTTTGAGAGAGTATGTCCCTTAGAGCCTCAGGAACGCATGGCGCGCGGAGTTTGAGCAGCTGCGCCATGGTGCTATGACTGTGTCAAAGTATGTAGTTTGTTTAAGTGATTTGGCCCGACATGCACCGGCCTTGGTTGCCACAGTTCGAGAGAGGGTTTGTCGGTTTATTGAGGGAATCCACCCCAGTATCCGGATTAGTATGGCTAGGGAGTTGGAGATGGATATTTTTTATCAGCAGGTTATGAGTATTGCCAAGAGATTGGAGGGTATGCTTGCCCGGGATAGAGAGGAAAGGGAGGCCAAGAGGTCTCGAGAGTCTAGAAGTTACAGCGGTACTCGTGCCCCAGTTGCAGTTCGTCATGGTAGGGGCTATGGGAGTCGCCCCGTTCATTCAGCTCTTCCAGTTGCCAGTGGTATTCCGGTCCCTTCTAGGCCCCAGGAGCCTTATTATGCACTGCTAGTATCTAGTATGCCTCCTGCTTGGGGGTGCTTTAAGCGGTCAGTCCAGCAGACCTGGCCCGAGCCAGTCACAACATTCATGCTCTCCGAGAGCTTATTTTAAGTGTGGCGACACTTGCCATATGGCGAGGGATTGCCCCAAATTTAGGAGGGGTGCACCTCCACAGACTTCTCAGCCACCACGTGCTCTACCGGGTCCTCAGGCTATGATTCCAGCACCTGCTACCGCCCCACCTCCTCAGCCAGCTCGAGGTGGAGGCCGGGGAGGTCGAGGTCGCCCTAGAGGGGGAGGCTAGGCCAGATATTATGCTCTTCCATCTCGTACAGAGGCCGTTACTTCCGACTCTGTCATTACAGGTATTGTTCTGGTCTGTCATAGAGATGCATCGGTATTATTTGACCCAGGCTCTACATATTCCTATGTGTCCTTTTATTTTGCCCCGTATTTTGGCGTATCTGGGGATTGTTTGAGTTCCCAAGTTTATGTGTCTACTCCTATGGGAGATTCTCTTATTGTGGAATGCGTGTTTTGGTCGTGTTTGATTTC